ACATTCCCAGAAGCCTGGGTGTTCAAGTGTGTGTGTGTGTGTGTCTGGAGCATGCGCAAACATGGCAAGGCAAAGAGTCTTTGTGCGAAGGGGCCCGAACAGCAGCAACCTGAAACGTGCTCAAACACATCCCCCATTGATCTGGACGGGCGTGCCGCGGTTTTCCCACACATCAGCTCCTTGCAAGATCGCACAAACAACCTGGAATGGCTATAACATGCTGGCCAGTCCTGCTTCTTGAGGCAGAGAATTTCTTGCCAGTATTCATCTGCTCGCTGCCGGTTTCGCATTGCCTGTTACTCACAGATGCACACTTATCACCGTTCAGCACCGGAAGCACAAGTCGAGAAGGTACCTCTTCTCGGCATCGCCTGGCTTCATCTTGCAAAGCCTGCTCAAGAGAGATTGGGGTTGGCAGCGGGAGGCACCAGTTCATCTCTCATTTCGAAGGTTAAGACCGGTTGTTTGAAAGTGCTGGAACTGCAGCTTGTGTGGCCATGGGATCAAGCAACAGTCTCGCTCTGCCAAGCCAAGATGCTGCTTGAAACCTCATCATGCTACATCGCCCCTCCCGGTCTCACGAGCATGCATGCTGTCAAAAGAGGCTTCCTGTCGGGCAGACCCCGGAATGCCTGGACCTGAACGGGATCCGGATGCGAGAAATCAGCATCTTCCTGCAGCTTCTGTAGTACTGCCTGCAGAAGCGACGACGAACAACCGTCTCAGAAGCTTCAGCAAACGGCGAGCCATGGTGCAACAACTGAAGCGGGTTCGAGTGTTCCACGCGCCCTGCCTCGCATGTTGGTCTGAGCTCCTTCCGAGGCTGAACCTGGCGAATCATAGTCCCAGAGTAGTTGTTACTTGTAGCAATGCTTGGAAGGACGAAGCGGGGTGAGAACTTCACCAAATTGGCATGAAAACACATACTTGTCACTGGGCCCTCAAATGCTTCGACATGCTTGCTGCTTGCTGTCGTGACACTGGATCTTGTCGAATCACTCTCAAGTGCACAACAGCCTATCGTGGTACTCAGCCATCCTAGTTCAGCCTACCAAACCTGCAGCACATGGGCGCGTTCAGCCAGTTGCTAGAGTCCCTCCGTCCCTCCTGTTGACTCTGGGCGCAGGGCCAGGTCTTGCATGAGCTGGAGCAGCTTGGGCGAGAGCTCTGGCAGCCGAGCCACCTCTTCAAACCGCTGTGGGATGTGCTCCATGCGATTAGCGGCTCTGAGCGACTCCACCTCGAGGGAACGACGGAGGCTGTGCCACTCTGGGCCTGCATTTGTGAAGCTCAGGTTGCATCCAGGCTGGCCAAATGGGTTGTAATCATGTCGTTGCGATCCTACAATCTGGTAACTCTGTGAAAGCATCTTCTACAAATTGAATGCAGCGATAGCACCGCTGAGAAAACAACACCCCCGGCAACTTTCCTTGTGCCCCTCCTGACTTTCTGCGGGTTTCGCGGTTATCTGCATGCTCCTGAACTGTGTTGCCCTCAGTGCTTTGGAGCCAATATGATCTCATGCGGTTCTTGTCGATCTTTCACATCTCACGAATCCCCACTTGCACGCCGAATGGGCTGTTCACAGTAAGTTTGCTTTGTTGTAATAAGTCGGGTGCTAACCACCTTGGTTGCAAAGAGGCCAGGCCTCAGAACCTAAGTTGGCGCAGCACAGGACACTGGCACCAAGAACGCTGGTTTCAAGCTCCATACTCATTTCACTGGAGCCATGCAGATGATGTCTGATGATAGCTCGGCGAAGAAACACTCTTCTGTTCATGGTGCCAGCAAAGACGGAAATGAGCAGCAATGCTAGCGCAACTGAAGATATCTATGAAGCCACACATGTGCTTGGATGTCTATTGCAGGCTCAAATGAACGACTAACATCGCCGGTTGTCAAGTCAGTGCTACGCAAACAGTATCATCATGTCAACGTGCCGCAATCCGTGCAAAGATGTATGCATCTAAAGACATTGCCAGCGTCTCAACATGTCAGAATGGCTCGCTGAATCTGCTCACGCGTCGGTAAACATGCGGATGCATTGATTGCACAAACCATAAGAAATTTACATTATGAGAGGGTTAGGTTAGTACATCACATATCCGTGTAGCAATACATGTTATGCGAACATACTCTGGGTCTATTGGTCAGTCTTCGCCTTGACTGGTGTAGTCTTGATTCATACACCATCATCTACGAGTCGCTAGTATCCAGCAGTGCGAGCGCCAAAGAGGTGCACATTACCTTGGCACTTGGAGCATCTTGAAGCCGCATCGTATCTCCGAGCGAAGCGAATGGAGAACGAGATGGTGCATCATGTCAAGCCTTGTCAAGCTGTTGCAATTACCTCCTGCCTTACCTCGACAAAACTAGAAGGAGTGAGCCGCAGCAAATTTGCTGTACTGAAGCGCTCCGATCGACTGTGGATGCGATTTATGTGTCCATGTGGATCTAGACTCAAGATTCTAGCTTTAGAAGAAGTAACTTGTATTTCCAACAATCTGTCTGTTCCAGGCATATGACCGGTCTCGGACGGTGAGTACAAATCAAATCACTAAACACTATCTGAGATGGTGGGTCGCAGCTGTGACATCGCCATTTCCAAATTGTGGGTGGTCTTGTCTTCTTCCATGTCTCGCCGAAGTGCTGCAATAGACAATGGCCATCTTTCTCTTAAAGTAGTTTCAGCAGTCCGTTGTTGAGTTTCGGGTCCCTCGTCGCAACAACCTGCACGTACCAACTCCGAAGACAATGATCGCCAGGGCGGCCGTTGCTTGGAAGACCGTTCGGGTTGGTGCCCAGTTCATAAAGGACCTTGGCACCACGGCAATTCCCACTCGGGGTTAACATCAGCAGGCTCGATATACTCGGCCTAATTGGCCCTGATGCACAACTAGGCGGATGGTGTCAGCTGTTGTCAATACTACAGATTCTTGCAAACGTAGTTGCAGGTTCGCAACGTACCTTTCCAGTTAATTGCAGCAATGCACAAACCCCGAGTGCAGTGGTTACATCCAAAGCCACAAGATGTGATATGAACTCCCGTATTTTGCTAAGATGGCAGCAAGGCCCAGGGAAAACACATCTGCTTTAGGAAGATCTGCAAAGTCGCCTACACGGCACAGCAAAAAGGAGACTTCAAACATGATGGACCGATCTGGTGCGAGCCTTGCAATACCTCTTTAGCAAGATAGCGGCAATCTCCTTCGGTGATATCATCGCACCTTGCACCTTGCGGGAAATGGCACGCGGAACCTGGGATCACAGCAGGGGCGCTGTTTCGCCGGCCTATCGCAGCTGCTGCCAATCCGAGGTCTGCGATTTTGAAATAACCTGCTGTCCAGGGCTGTCCCGGCCGCTGCCACTCGTTGACGCTGCGAGGACTGGGCAACACCTGGCTCTCCTCGACTGAGAAGGATGTTGTCCGGCTTGATGTCCAAATGCACGATGCTCAGGCCGTGCCTTGGCAAAGATGACTGCGCACCTCTGCAGACTCTAGCACTTCTTGGGATCAGACAGCTTCTTCAGCCCGCCTGGCGTTGTGCAGATGGCTCGGTTCGGAGAAACTTCGACGCGACTTCCGACCATGCAAATGCTCCGCTTAAGCTGGCCAGGCTTACTGGCCACGTGCTGCAAAACCTGCAGAGCGCACTCGAAACCGCGCAGATGTGGTATCCAACCCAAAAGGCACCTCAATCAGCTCACCTTCCTGAAAGCGCGGATCTGCACAGTCCTGTCTGATGCTGTCTGCAGCCTGCAACTTTGCCTTTGGTTGGTGGGTCCCGAGGATTCGCCGGGTGTGATTATACTTCCTACTCGTCGTAGCTCTGATTTCTGCGAAGGCAGCGAAGGTGCACCCGGCAACCACGGCGCACTCAATTTGGGGGCGAGTCTGTAATGCTCAGCCGTTCCTAAATTTTAATTTGAGCCTGCAAGTCTTGGGGCAAATGGGCTTGAATTTAAGGGACTGGCTTGCATCTGGGGCATATGGTTCAACCTCGGCCACATTGATAAATCGTTCGAGGCATTGAGAAGTTGAGAAGGACCCAAGGCCATTCAGGCACATGACTGATTTGGCCTTGAGGTTTATATCTAGATTGAAGAGCCGACAGCATTTTCAGGCTAAGGGTTTCATGTCTCATCACAGCTTGCCAACATTTGCCGAGCTCCGGCCAAGCTCAATCTGTGAGCAAGTCTGTAACACTGATTTGCGAGATGTTTGGCTCTTCCTTGAGTTTCATTTCAAGCAGTCCTGCTGGTGCTCCAACAACTTGTCACGCAATGAGCACCGACATCTGCAAGCGAAAAGGCGCAGCGCTTTCACACAGCACGGTCTGTGAAGCGTTCGATCTGTGGCTCGGACAGCTCGGTTTGGATGTGCAGCCGGCTATCCTGCAAATCTGACAGCGTGGAAAGCTTACACCTCTTTTCTTGGCTCCACGACCCAGCCTCCACCCAAGAGGAGTAGTAGCGAACGATGTAGGGACAGGCTGCCGCCTTGCACGCCGCATCTTTCGGGTGGGAGAGGGTGGGGAGAGGGAGAAAACACAAACAATACAAAACAACAAGGGAGATACTGATTTAGTCTTACGGATATATTCCGGTCAGTTGGCCAACCAAGCGAACGGTTTTGTGAACCGGGGCACGCTTTCCAAAGCTCATCCTAAAGATCTTGTGCAAACATCGTTCTCAAAATGATGCTCACCTGCCTCCATGGACACGCTTGCCAATGCCAAAGCCTCCTTTAGCTGACTTTCGCGGAGACCTTGTCAACCAGCAAGCCATATCTTCCGAGTGCCAATGTTATCCAGCATGCCAAAAGTAAAAACATTTGACCCCACCAGAAGGCAACTAGTGCATGTTCTTTTTCGTAGATTGTTTGCATGTTATCTTCCGTGCTACTCCTTCAAACATCGCGGACTTGGAATTCGCACGGTCCTGTGTGGCGGCAAGCTCTGGGGGAGGAGCTTCACCTATTGGGGAATTCCATGTTGCGTTGGAATTTACGAGGTCTTGCATCTCATCGTCAATCTGGATTGGTGTCGGCACTTGTATATATAATAGTCGTGAAAGCAATGATAACAAAAACAGCAACACTTGCAACAAAAATAATAATGCATTAGTAATACGAGTTTGAAAAGTAGTAATCATAGAAATAGCAGTGAAACAACAAACAGTAATGATCCTGGTAACAAGTAATAATAACAATAGTCGTACCAATAATAACAATATTAACAATAGTGATAGAAATAGCAACAGTAATAGTAATAGTCATAGTCATAGTCATAGTACAAGTACTAATAGTACGTGAGTAATAGTACAGCAAGTAGGCTAGACAGTTAACTTTCGCAAAACAATAAACAACCTTGGCAGCACAATCAAGGAATTTCCGCGACGGCATATTTGGCTGTGCAGTTGGCCTTTCATATAAATTAAAGCTCATAAGGAGCTCTGGATCAACTACCGGAATCTGTCTCGGAGGCAGCTCGCCCATGTGCAAATGCAGTGAGTTGTTGATGGGCTCCCTCCTTTCTGTAGTTCTGTCTTTCTTGTTTAATGTTTAGTTTGTTACGTCCTGCTTTCTTTCCTGTCGCTATTTCTTTCCTTAATTATTTATTCCTTCCTTCCTGCTGTCACGGAAATAAGACCTCAGAGATTGGAATCCCTCAAAGTTTATCGAGAAACAAACAGGGAACAAATTCAACTACCCAGAAGAATACATCACGGTACTAATGCCAATCCTCAAATCCGCACAGAACCGTTCAAATTCCAATTCTCCAATGGCTTGTCGCATCCTCGCCACAGGACGGCACAAATTCCATGTTTGCAATGGCCAATAGCTTTGAAGGAGCAGCACCGGAACCGAAGCTCATCACAACATATTGTTCTCAGCTACTCTTCATGGCGTCTCCTGTTTTTCGTGTTTATGTGTTCTCGTGCACGGAAGTGAGACTGTTGACACGCAGTGCACGTCTACCTACTTTCTGTCTTTGACATCACGCCCGGCCCTGATCTGACGCGGACGAACAACCTTTACCGAACATCTGTACGGGGCAAGCGCCTCTTGTGACTTGCATAGTTTTCTTGACCTTGCACAGGAAGGCAGCGAGGACAGGACTCCCAGCAAGGAAAGGCAACTTCCTGCCGCAGACGCTGCACGCTCTAGTTGCACGAACAAGGGCTAGTGACTTTCATCCCTTTTTGCTGTGAAGCAACGCAAGCTGGCCACCTGCCACCCAGGCAAACTGTCCACGTTCTGGTGGAAGTTTGGCTGGCGCTCGACGACATCGTGTTACGACGTCGTTTGTGAGACAATCTATGGTGAGATCTACATTTTCTTATTGCTGGACAGGCACCAGGAAAAAGGCATCTCTGACTTACGCGTGCACCTTCGAAATATCACTTGTCGGCATGTCCCATAGATAAAAATGCGAGCCCATCTGCAACTGCTAGTGAGGAGCTTCCTCTTCGAGGCTGGGATTCTCGACTGATTGCTGTGTGTGCCAAGAAATGCCGTATCGAGACTCGGAAGGCTTAAACTTACACCTTTCACCAGTCGAACTATGGAGTTGGAGGAGACAAAGGTTCACCATGGTTGGGCCCCGAGCTATCTAACATTACTGCAACACTACCATAATCCTAGCCATATCTAATCTAGCCATGCAACAGGATCCAGCAGGAAGTGATTATCGAAGCTGAAAGTTCGCACAAGGTTCGCAACTGTCAGCGGAGCCAAGCCTAACCGTGGCTATGAAAAGAGAATGTGCCGCTTGGCTAGTCTCGGATTGAGAGCGTCAGCGCGACACTTCTACGAAGTTGCGGCAAAAAGCAACATGCCCATGACCATCCAGGAAAGGTGATTATGACAGCCAGCCCCCGTCGTTGACACCACCTGCGCAAGCCATCCGGCAGAAGGGATTCATCGACTTATGTCATCTGCAAGTGAATAAGAACCTGAAGCCTGCACAAGAAGTAGACCTGATGCACCCAGTTGTGTTCACACAACTGCCAGTGATCGCAATTTCAAGTGTTGCGGATGCTGCCTGAAACACTTTGGCCGGCAGCTGTGGCTCGTTGTTGGGAACTGGAAAAGAAGCCATGATTCCAGGATCTCGCACCTCCGTGCCTGCAGGGACACGATACGTTCTACGAGGTGACGAGGTGTCCTGCTGAAGCGTCTAATTCGGCAAAGTGGCACGTCTGCTCTGCGCATAAGCTAACATACCACTCGCTTGTAAACGGCTTGATCAAGGGAACCTTAGAAAGAAGATGACGAAAAGGTGCAGGACGTTGTGCTCGATACCAGGAGGTGTGTTCTAATGAGTGCTGCTGTCGTGGGTTCACACACCGGCTACGGACGACCTGAGATGCCAACCATGACTGGGAATTGCCACTGGTAAGTGCCGGCGATGATAATCTGAGCCTCACCTGTCCCGGCCACTTCCACAAGGACCTTGATGTACCTTGGAGGGCAATGTAGGAGCAAATCAGTAGAACTTCAGTAGATCCTTTGAACCCTCTACTGAGTTTGCAATCGCTGCCTCAAGTTGTCGAAGACCCGCCACTCCGTATCAATTGTGAGCGGGAACTGTTTGTTGACGTTCCGCAACCTCGGTCGTCCGTATGCTTGGTTTACGCGACAAGGAATCTTGCTCACAAACAACGCCATACTGTGTAGCATCAACAAGTTGCCAGCACCCCGACATCGACAAAGAGTTGCGCAAACATCAAAAACTAATTTGTGCCGGAAAGTAGATTACGTGATTACAACATGAGTGTTGATTTCTGTTCTTGCATCAGGATATGGTTTCATTGCAGATATTTCGTTTTTCGCATGTGTTTCTTGACCTTTCGCGCGGCATGTTTGTCGTGGTAATCGTCTTCGCCGCAATAGCAGCAGCAGTAGCACGAGCAGCAGTCGGAGTAGCAGTGGGAGTTCGAGTAGAACAACAGGTAGGAGGAGGAGAAGGAGCAGGGCCAGGAGGAGTAGGAGTAGGAGATAGTAGGAGTATATGGGGGTAGGTGAGGGTAGGTGTGGGAGTAAGAATAGGACAATATAAGAGTAGGCAGCACGAGTACGAGTAGTAGGACTTGGAGCAGGAAAGTAAGAAGCTGGAGTAGGAGTAAGAGCACGAGTGGGAGTAGCAATATGATTTCAATCTTGCTCCCGCGACCCTTCAAATACTTCCACCCTACTTGGGAATTCCAATGTGGAGCGTCTTGCTCTGCTCCACACGTGACAAACGTCGAGTAGCCCTTGGCTTGTTCGGGTGAAGCGGGAATCTTTTTGTCTTGGCTCCTCCTCCTACTGCCGCTACCGGCGCAAAGGGCCACCAACTAGCCAGAGTCACTGCAGGCTATGATCACTCACGATGAAATGTGAATTTGGCGTTTGCAAATCCACGCTGCTCATCTGGCTCAGCCTCTTGGATTGGCCACCATCACGATTTCCTCACTCGTTGGGGAGGTGTCTAGAGGATGCTGGCAGCGACCTTGGCATCTGACGGTGTCAGCTGTACCGTCAGATGTGCCAACGGCCAGGCCCGCATCGGTTGCGAGATCCCGGGTGACCCTGATCCAACAAGGCCTGCATTCCATACTGCCGCCCTTGCCAGCGGGACAAACAGTAGTGAGCGCTTTGCCGTGCTTGCCGGGTCCCTGAATTTCAGGTGGCAACATGGCTCGGTGAGGCACCATGGGAAATATGCATGACAGTTGAAGGACATGACGACATTGTGCAGGTGCTCACAACACGGTCAGAGCTGTGCTGCGGGTATTGACACATTGGAAGGCAGCTAACACGCAGCTGGGGGTGGGGCCTCGACCCGTCGTTCTGCCAACCATGCTGTAACCTCACTCCGAGGGAGGTACTCGGCCCTCACCCTACGGGGAGGTGTAGGCACGGGTGCGAAGATGCGTTGCAGACCGATGTTGCATGTGCAAAAGTTGTTTGGAATATAGATAAGTTGCGGGCGCATGCGGCGCTCTACAACTTCTCCCGAAATTCCTGCAGTTCTGTTATGTCATGTGCAGCTCACCACGATGATACTCTGCCACCCCGTAACGGGCCGAAACTTCACGCTACTGACCGAAGCAAAACTGAAAGTCGCTTGGATGCACGGGCACAAACTGCTAGATCAAGCGGTGAACGCCGACAATAATGCGGTCTGGAACGCCTTGCCACCAATGGCATGCGCGCCCACTTGCGAGACCGTACAACTTAAGACGCCCGAGGTCGCTGCGAGAGGGGTAAGGGACAGGCTCCAGTACTAAGCATATGTGCCTTCCCCCTATCAGGGAGCGAAGTGGATCTAACTGCACACAGGTTAATGGACCCAAGAGCCTCGTCCAAAGGGTTTACACAGCAAGGGCTTGTCCCAAAGATTTCAAAGACAGGCGTCCCAAACTGAGCAAGTGGCGGACCGCCTCCCAAATGGGAGGCCTCGAATTACCTCCGAGCTTCTCGCGATGCATGGACAGAGAAGACTCGCGAGCCGTCTGGACTGGCGCAGTGCTGTGTGCGACCGCACGATCCAGTTTTGCGGCAGAATCCCATGGGATGGTGCAGCGCTATGGAGAATCCTTACAGGAACCCTTGTCCTCGGAAGATGGAAAGTTGCAACGAAGCCTCCGAAGGCTGGGGAATGGCGAGGGAAATTACTGGGAGATTTCTATCATTTCTAATTCCCATTTGTAGAGAAGCCTTAAGTAGCATCGATCCCTTGAGTCTCACTTTTCCCGGCCAGGCAGATGAACCGATCCGGCGCAGGCTTGAGCAGCAGACCTCAACCGCAACCCACGTGGCCTCCCCGCACGCCCAACACTGCGTAGAGCGCAAAACGTATTTATCTGCAGGTGTGCTTCACACAAAGACAGGTGATAGGAGGACCTCGGAAGGCAAAGAGATCTTTGCTGAACCCTTCGCCTTAGCGCCTGAGCTGCAGCCCGAACATCGAGCCGCGTGTCGCAAGTACTCTGCATGCGCCTGAATAGGCCAAACTTATATAATAACATGCATTGGAAAAAAGCCCACATTCTTCTGGTCTTGGACTGGACATATCGGGCAAAACTGAATCCAACTATAGTGAGGGTTTGCGAGCATCTGCTGAACGAAGATAGACCTGCATCCACACGTGTGTAGCAAGCCATGACTGCCTCGAGCGGGCTGCTCGGGTAGCCATGGCTCGGGGGTAAGAGCAGAGCGGGCTGCATTTGGGCAACCTCAACCCCTGGTGACAGGTGGTATTGGCGGAGTCTCCTCTGCGCCTCTCCACAAAAGCTGGACTGGCACGGCACATGGCTGGGCCAACACGCGTTCGATGAGGTGCGGGCTGGGCTGTCTGTGTGACGGTCTGTACCCAGACCGCAGCCGCAGTTTCAAAGCCAAGCTGCAGTGCTACGCGTGGTGCTGCTTTCCTACACGTCGCACGTCCCTGCGCAGCCCAAAAGATCTGTGGCCAAAGAACGATTTCCCCCGCGAGGCTTGCCGCTGCTCGTGCTTATATCCACCACAGCGATATAAGTATAAGGGTCCATCGACAGGCCTGGCCCTCACCGAAACGTGCTGCCGCCTCATCCTTGGCATGCCATGTAGCGAGACTGGGTGCCTTTGCTCCCATGCCATCGTTATTACTAAGAATGGGACGAAACGCATTTTTTACTGGAACGTTGCTTAAAATCGGTGTGGCCAAGTTCCAACGCCCCGCTTGCGCTGGAGACTTCAGCCGGGTCACAACCGACTCCATCCATGGAAGGAACTTTGACACCTGCCAACTCAGGTCTCGTTAGCACTGCACCACCGCCCCGACCGGTCCATTGACACAGCGCAAGGGGCGCACCGCCTTCTTTTCAAGTCCAAAGATGCTGGGCCGGAGATCTACATCTAAGGCCATCAGGCAAGCCAGAACCTTGAAGTGCTCCTGCAGGATGTGCAGAGAAGGGTCCTTGATTTTGCGGCAGCGAAGATCTGAAACTAGGGATGCCACTGCCCACCCAAGACTTGGGAAAGGGACGCGCGCAAGATCCGACCGGCCCTGGCAAAGACTTGCTGGGTCTATCTTTGTCCTTGGCAAAGCGGCCTAGGGAGGTC